GCGCTTTCACGCGGGAGATCCAGTTCACGCAAGCTTAGGAGAACCCTCGCCAAGATATCCGCAATGCTGTTGGCTAGTGGCCTTCAAGGTACCTGTGGGTACATCGACACACACCAGAACCCGGCGGACAAGCCGTCTCGCCGGCCCCTACACCGTAAATGGGTAAGAAAGCGCCAAAAGTAGTGGAAGGTCGCAGCCAGCAGCAGCGCAAAGCGGTAAGGCAAAAGCTTGGCAAGTTAAAGGATCTCACCGTGCAACCACGTACTCGACAGAGGTATGAAGCTAGTTTGCAGCAGTTCTTTTCCTGGTTGGAACGGGAGGGACTCTCCCTCCCAAAACGCTGGACAATTTGGTCAGTGACTACCTTGAATACCTATGGGCTGATGGACATGGCAAATCAGAGGCGAACAATGCCCTTGCAGCACTTCAAGACTTTGACCCAAATCTACGTCGAAAGCTTCCCGGAAGTTGGAGGTTGCTAAAAGCGTGGTCAACCGCGGAGATCCCCAACCGAGCTCCTCCGATGACGATGGGATTGCTCGATGCCCTTTGTGGTTGGGCTGTGATGCAAGGACTTCCGGACTTTGCCTTGTCTCTGAGGGTTGCATTTTTTGGACTTCTCCGGACGGGCGAACTCTTGAGCCTGACCTCGAAAGATGTGTACATCGCAGGGCCCAAAGGGCCGGCGGTCATCTCGCTTGGCCTCACCAAGTCTGGCGCTCGACAGGGGGCCAGTGAGAGCATCACCATAGTGGACACCTCCGTACTACCGTCGTTGTACAGTTGGAAGCGCCGAAGCTCGTCGAACTCTTACCTAACCTCCAACCCCCATGCTTGGCGCAAGACTTTTAATCAAGCCATAGCTGGACTTCAGCTGACCGCGCTTGGCCTGCGCCCGTACTCGTTACGGCGTGGGGGCGCCACGTTTTTCTTCCAACACCACGGAAGTTTCGATAAACTGCTGCTCCAAGGGAGGTGGGCAGCAGCAAAAACCGCCCGAATATACCTGAACGAAGGTTTGGCACAGTTGTCAGAGATGCAGGTTCCTAATTCGCGTCTGCGGACCTATGCAAGTTTTTACCTTCAGAACCCGATCCTTGAGCCTGGGCCCGGGAAGGCGCCCAGGTCAGGGGGACGTGGAAGAGCCAATAAAAGTGTCTTTTTTCTGCGTGAGAGGGGTTGCGGGAGAAAAAACCCCAAAAAAGACTTCCTGATGGGGAGATCGAACAGGAAGTTTTTCCTCTAAAAAGTGTTCGGGCCCAGGGTCCGGGCACTGGGGGGCACTCACCTTTCTCTGGTCTGGCGGGAAAGGCTGAGTGTCGGGGCCCCGAAGAGGAGAATTTGTGTTCCAAGCACCGTTGGTGCTATGTTCTTGGACAAACCTGCTGCAACGCGTGAAAAAAAATGACCGGCGGCTGTGCTTGGATTAATGTCCTCATAATTAAGCACAGAGTCAGTCCTTTTTCACCGTAGCATCGGGCTCGAAAAGGCCCCCCCACCGCACCCTTGGTTGGTGTGTTGGTTGTCCAATAAAAGTGTCTTTTTTCTGCATGAGAGGGGTTGCGGGAGAAAAAACCCCAAAAGAGACTTCCTGATGGGGAGATCGAACAGGAAGTTTTTCCTCTAAAAGTGTTCGGGCCCAGGGGGCTCCGGTATGGCGGTAGCAGTCCTGGGGGGCACTGGGGGGCACCCACCTTTCTCTGGTCTGGCGGGAAAGGCTGAGTGTCGGGGCCCCGAAGAGGAGAATTTGTGTTCCAAGCACCGTCGGTGCTATGTTCTTGGACAAACCTGCTGCAACGCGTGAAAAAATGACCGGCGGCTGTGCTTATATATGTATATATATAATATGTCAAGGACTTTCCCCAGGATCCAGGCCGCTTCGTGGTTGCGGGAGGAGAAAAGCGTACTCATCCAGTCTCGATGGAGGCCGCCAAACTTTCAGAAATGGACCCTGCATCACGCCTTAGGCCCTGACAGCAAAAACGTTTCTCCATGGTTTCGGTATACTTTAGAAATGATGCTGGATTGGGAAGTGGTGTCGAAGATTGTCAAGACCCCACTTTGGAGATTTGCCAGTTTGGAGCGCATCCAAACAGTGGAACGAATCGCCAAGCCAGCTTGCCGGTTATTTGATGGTATCCAACCTTGAATATTGCAGGGTAGACCTTCTTTGCCAGTGGGTCCAAGAACACATGATTCATGTGAATTCCAGATTCCCTCAACCGTAGTCAGACAACGCCTAGTTTAAACACAGATTGCAGAGGTGTAGCCGGCCGTAGCTGACCTTCCCAGCATGGCCGCTTCCAAACCCTTGAGGTGCTTGGCTTTGTGGCGCTTTGCACCTTCGCAGTCATGATGGAATCTCGCTCGCACGAAGCCACATGAGGAGAACTCAGCAAGTCGCTTTGGTCGTGGCCCGATGCTTTGTTCTGCACCCCGGTTGCTCCACCGTTGTCCGACTTAAGCACGCGAGTCGGCTCAGAACTCAGCGTGCGTCGGCTCATTGCATCTCATCGCCCACATTGGTGTTTTGGGATCTCACACACCAGCGTCCCCATTCATTCCGTCCCCGAGTCCACCGTGCCGCAGGTTTGTTGTTCTGTTTTTTTCAGCCTTTGCTTATGTTGAGACACGCAGAGTTGTTTTCTTTGCGTCCAGATACCTCCAATGCCGCCAGATCTGATAGTGTTTGGAGTCGCCACACGTTCAGGTTCCCAAGTGGAGTTCACAGCGCAAAGATCATTTTGTGGCCGCTGCACGGTTCTTGGTCTTCCGATTCCGGCTCGACTCCTGGTGGTTTGGCGTGCCATTGCTGCTGCGAGGCCTGAACACTGAACAAGAGCCGATGCATGTGGTGGACGGTAGGTAGTTCCCACACTTGGAAGCCTACCTGTACTTTCCTCATGATGTGTTGCAGACATCAGGCCGTATCAACTGCATTGAATTGATGTTGAGGGCTGGCTTTCAGGGCAGGTACTAGATAACAAGTACCGCAATAGTTTTACAACTTAGGTGCGTGGAGTTAAGAGAGCAAAACCCTGCTCGTTAAGATAGTTGTAGGCACGGCCCATCATATATATATGTATATATACTGGTCAACTCTCATGCCAAAGGGTCGTTACCCTTTCCCATAGTGTGTGTGTGTGTCACCCCCTGTACCAAAGGGTTCAATGCCACTGTTTCCACTGCAACCACTCAACAAGGCAGGGGCGTGTGACACTCTTCTCCTATCACACGCAACGAAGCTGTGGAGAAGAGTGGAAAGGGAAACTTGGCCAGTTTCCTGTACCTGCGACGCAACTGTTGATCACGCTGTCCAATTTGATCGGTTTGAATCATGGTCCTTCATGCTACCTACCCCTCAAACCATTTTCCTTCCGCCTTGCAGCTGCTGAACGCCGCCTTCACTTGAGCGCTTTCGGAAACATTGTTCAACAATACCTTTCTGCGGACTCATGCACCTTTCCGTTCCTTCACCTTCCTTCTCAACGTGGGAACTGAGTTCACTGAATACCAATGTCAGAGTGTGTTTCGCTCAGCCGTCCCACTCGGGTGCTGAGTGTGATCCCCGTCACTGGGGCGCTGAATTCATGCCGGAAATCGTGTAACTGACCTTTTCCACCTTCTTTCTTTTCTTTTGTTTCTAAGGCTTTTTAGGTGACTATTGAGGTTTTTCACACGCGCGCCGCGAAGCGGCACCGTGTGTGTGTGTCACCCCCCGTACCAAAGGGTTCAATGCCACTGTTTCCACTGCAACCACTCAACAAGGCAGGGGCGTGTGACACTCTTCTCCTATCACACGCAACGAAGCTGTGGAGAAGAGTGGGAAGGGAAACTTGGCCAGTTTCCTGTACCTGCGACGCAACTGTTGATCATGCTGTCCAATTTGATCGGTTTGATTCATGGTCCTTCATGCTACCTACCCCTCAAACCATTTTCCTTCCGCCTTGCAGCTGCTGAACGCCGCCTTCACTTGAGCGCTTTCGGAAACATTGTTCAACAATACCTTTCTGCGGACTCATGCACCTTTCCGTTCCTTCACCTTCCTTCTCAACGTGGGAACTGAGTTCACTGAATACCAATGTCAGAGTGTGTCAATAATGCAAATATTCACCCCATCCAGTCCCAATGCAAAGGAAAAACTGCGAACATGTATGAACATGTACTGTACCGACATGACTGCATCCTTAGTGCACTGCCACAATTCTGAAGGTTTTTGGGGGAAGCCGGTTTACCCATGGTGAGCTTCTTTTAATATCTGACCCCTTGAAATTTGAGGGCCGTTTGCAGCAGCACCAAGGATGTTTTCAACGCTTCACACGTCCGCTCGGAGGTCCCTTGCTTTCCCTGCCGGTGGTCTTTGCAACAGACTATCCACCAATCCAGATCATCGCGATTGCCATGATTTTGTCCGCCTTCTTGGCAGCTTGGCCGGCACAGACACGCCAAAGATGGTGGTTGTGGCCGAATTGTTGAAGACAAGTTCTTCAAGTGTACGTCAAATTCTTCAATCAAGTGAAGGAACTTGTTTCAGTGTTTCCATGTTGGCTTGAATATTTATGCACAGAGTCGTTCTTTCGGCTTTGTGTGATAAACGCTTTGGTATGGAGATGAAGACTTTGGTCGGGTCCTTGGACTTTGTAGAAGGTGCGCGCTTACAGAACTGACCTACTGAACCGAAACCGTATTTCTGGACCTGTTCTGGACCATCAGAAAGTCGTGCGTTGTCTGGCACAAAATAACATAAAACCTTTCCGCAGTGCTCATGCCCCGACTGGGCCACAGAATCAACTCGGAATGTAGCAACGAAACTATGCGCTTAGAACAGAGCAAAATGATGCTGATGCAACGAGGGTTTGGAGCCTCGGTGTGTTCTTCCAGAGGATCCTTGAGGTTTTTTCGGTGGGAAACGGGTGCCGGTGGCGTCGTGGCGTCGTTTCCCACGAACGCCACCCGTTTCGAGGTGATGCAGATGCTCGCGTGGCCTTGGAAGGCGTCCGTCTTCGCCGCGACCGCGTTCGCCGCTACCCGCGGTGGGAGAAGAAGAAACACCCCGGGTCACGGCGAAAAGGTTTCGAAGAAGAAAATGATGTCAGTCATGTTTAAAAGAAATCAAGTTGGGTTGAAGACAAGATTGAAGATCTTCCCATTCCATCAGGGTGGTGGATCCAAGTCCCGAAACTCACAGCCCCAAGTTGTTCAACTGCAGGGCTGGGATCCATGAAATATAGAGTTCCATGCCGGTTGTATCAAATACCAGTTCTTGTCCCAAACAGTTGGCGTTGCTTGTGTGAGGATGGTTCAAAGACGTTCAAAGAATTTCTTCAGTGAGGGTATTTCATTTAGATGTCTTAGGACTAGTCTCACCTGCAACAGGACCAGGTTGACACAGAAGAGTCTAGGGTGCTGTGGTTGATTCGGGTGGGAGTGTTTGCGGTGTTCGACACGGGGAGACGCGAAACGTTGTGACACCCGGAGACGCACAGGTTCCCATGTTGAACCTCACCGATATCATCGTCTCATTTTGCGTGACACTCTTGGTCACCACCAGCAGCCTGCACTTGAAGGTGGTGGAGCCTTGGCAAAAACTGCCCGGGGCAGCCGATGTTGTTGGTGATGAAAAGAAAAGACCATGTTCCCGTGTCAAAATCAAGCCATGGGTGTGGGCGATGGGCGTAGATGGATGTGGCTTTTGGTAGCTTAAACCTCACGCCCGACAGAAGCCATAGCTCATCCACCTTTACATCGAAGTCCCGTAGCTACGCCTAAACTCTGCTTAGGTCAAAACAGCGGTGAAGACATGTGAAGACCATTCTAAATATACAATGTTCCACTGTGTCCGACTCTGTCCCTCCCTGGAAAGCTAGGGCTGCTAGGGCTAGGGTTCCAAGTCTGAGTCAGTCGCCCGCCTAGGAAGGGCCCATGGCGGCGTTCGCAGAAGGGATCTCTACGGCGATGTTGCCACGTGGCGACAACCGACGGTGGCAGTCAACCGATGAAACAGCAGGGCGCAGGCTTTATCGTAAGATATCATAACGTCATAAGATGTTTGTGACGTTTTATAGTGTTGCAGGAAGGGACAGAATTCTTCCGTGTTATGTTCAGTGAAGTTTGTATTGCAACGATGTGTTCAAGGAGGTTTTGCTTTCAGCCACTTCAAACAGGACCCAAAGGCCAGCTGTCAAAGCCTGTAAGCGGTCGTGCAAATTAGTATGTTGAAATTGTCAGATCAAGTTTGCTTCACCAAGCCAGTTTTTACAGATGTTCACATTCTTGAAGTGGCCCCTCAAAAAGATGTTCACCAAGCTCTTTCTTAACGGACCTTGCAAAGCTTACTGGTGCCCGCATCACAAAGATGCGTAGAGTAGGCCTAAATACGGCCTCATCCTTTTTCGCTGTTTGACGCGCTGGTTTCACTGGCAATGCCTCGCAGCCCCCAATCCTGGGCAGATAGTTCTTGCACCCTCAGCGAGAGGCTTGCAGCGTGTTTGCCCAAACTCCTGACACTTGTCATGTCCATGTGCGTTTGAAGTGTATGTTTTTTTCCATGTTCTTCGGCCTGAATACATCGAGCTCGAATCTTATCCACCACACCCTTTTGGCTCCAGAAGGCTTCGGCCCAAAGCCCTCGACGGGTCAAGCGGGTGAACCTCTTTGGTTTCAGGTCGTTTTGGAGAGAAGAGCAGTTCAATCCCGTAAGGAGCTGCATCGGCATCGCCTTGGGCATCATGGTCCTCATGACCAGCAGCGCTTTGATCTACCGCTCCGCCCTGGGTGGCAAGAAGGATCCCATCCGCCCGCAATTCGGTGTTTTTGGTGAGGGCGTCCCTTGATGGTAGCTGGAGTGTTGTCACTTTCGACATGTTCACATTCACACTAACATGTAGCTACATGTGAATAACAGACTCAGAACTTGGGACAAAACTTGGGATCATACCAAAAGCTGCAGCTACATCCTTAAAACTTGTCTTCCAAAATAATTACATATTGTTGGCCCGTGGAAATTCCTTATGGGATAAGTTGGGCAAAGTTATTGTCAGAACAAAACAGTTGGAGCCTGGCGATTCGGATGATCAGAAAAGGAGTGCTTTGATCCTGCGTTGAAGAGCGCTGAAAGCACCGCGCCTCTAAAGGTGCCGGTTTTCGTGTTTTTCTCCGGCAGGGATGATTTGGAGTTGAGGGCACCTTAGTTCATGAAGGAAGTTTACCCAAGAAATCCCAGGCTTTAGATACTGCGATGATCTCGTTTCTGTTGGTTATGATTGGGTGTTCATACACTTGTGATCGGGCATGCCCAGGTTTACCTAGTGAATCCCGAACATCTCCCAACAACCCTAGTGGTAAACTCAAGAAAAGGCCAGAAAAGACCGGGTATATTGCCCGGTACAGTGGCAACATCGGTATGTGTATATATATATATGTATATGTATATTACAATAACAATAATGATAATAATTATAGTAATAATATGTACATGGAAAAAAAAGGCGGCTCAATCGCTGGTTTTTTTCGTTGTGCAAATATGAGTTGTCCTGTATCACACGGTTCATGGTGTGGCGAACCCCTTTCTTGTTTTTTTGTTTGGTGCGCTAGCCCCCCCAAAAGGGAGAACTAGGAAGACTGAAACAAGTGGAACACACTGAAAGAAGCACCTACGAGGACTCAGCCAATCGCGACCGGCCTTCCAGGAGCTGAGCATCTTCAACCTGGGAAAGACCGTTTCCTCGCAAAGGTTGGCCACGAAGCTGAAGGTCGCTTGGACTCTGACCGTGGTTTTTGGGTCCTCGACTGGATGGAGGATGGATGAAGGATACAGAAGTTCCAGTCCATCCACATCTCAACTAAGATGCCCAGGACCAAAGAGTCAGAAAACAACAGCGGCAGAAAGAACCAACGATCGTTTATGATTGCTAGGGGTGGTCGAAAGTTCCATGGTGTTGAAACTAATGGGTCAATACATCCCACGCTCTTTGTCGGTCTTGGGAAACGGAAGATTTGTGAAGACTAGTGTACTTAAGAATTTCCTAGCATGGGATTTCCACCTGTCATCGAAGCGGGACTCGGTCGCACCTCAAGGTGCCTTGTAAGTCGGGTTGAGCCTGGACTCAATTGCCCGACGTGACACTCTCCAGGAAATGTCCGTCCAACTGGAAGCCATGAATCAAGCCGAGCTCGCCGAGCAGCACCCCGCCTAGCGCAGCGCGTGTTCGATTGTTTTCGGCGTTCTTGTCTTGGCGGCACCCGCGGGGCCAAAACAGTAAGGGGTGGGGTTGTTCCGAGCTATCCAATTCAACATGCAATGCTGGAAAACTTTCTTGAGGTCCAAACATATCCAAACTCGCTAATTAGAGACTTTTGAGAGGATCTGTTTAGTTTCGGAGGCGTGCACATAAATCTATGAAGCGAACACCTTGGTTTATTTGTAGATGTCCTGGCTGACTTGCGGGTGATTCCACTAACTTCGGCCAAAACAGCTTCAGAAACAGCCAGATCACTATGATCTACCCTACCCTTTGATCCCTTTGCACAGACTCGGGAGACATGGGAATTGGGTCAGTTCGACACGAACGCAACACAAACCGACCATTTCAAGTCGGACCATTCGCAGTCGCAGGCTGTCTGCCTTGGCGGTCTTTGACATGAACAAGGTCACCACGTGCATCACCCTGCTGGCCACGGAGGTGTCGAGGGCCCCGGGTGTGCCACGTGGAATGACACGTAGACCTGTCATCCTCCACGTTCGGCATGTGGGCCACGGAGACCGGCATCGCGATAGCACATCCTGGTGTTGAGACCCCCATCAAAGGCCTCGTTTGGATGCGAGCGGTGGTGACGAAGCGGCCAGGTGGCCCCACCGGCGGACGAAGCTGTCACGTACAAGTTCAATGCGTGCCTGGGTGATGTTTGATTATGTGTGTGTGTTTTTTAGCCTGCCCTTAATTGAGTAGGTACCTACTTAATTAAGTACGGGCAGTACGGGCTAAACAAGGATAAACAAACTACTAGGTAACCTGCTACTAGCCAGGGCGCAGGATCGCTCGCGCACACTCTCTCCTCGTGCACTATTCATCTTGTTCCTATAGGAACCCATGGATGCCCTTCCACCCGGTCGATGGGAGGTTCGATGGGAAAGCGGAAGGAAGAAGGCAAAAAGATTGGTGGTTCAATGATCTCCATTGCATGGAGATGTTGAAATGTTTGTCAGAGTTGAGGTGAAATTTGAGTCTATGAAACATGGGCAACCAGGAGACAGACATGATCAATCCCATTCAGGTCGAGGCTGAGTTTGACTGTCCTGTGATTGTAGGGTATATAAATGGGCATGCTGTTGATGGACGGTCCAAAAACTACTTTTTTAATGTTCTTGAAATTCTCTCGCATACTTGCTTAGTAGCAAGTGCCTTACTAGTAGTAACAAGAAGCTAATAGGAACAAGCTATTCCCTCCCTCCCTTCTACATACAATATCCCTCACGTCAGAAAAGTAGCGCCGCCGCTTCAGATGCAAAAGACGCCCAAGAAAGGCACGGTCCATCACGGTCCCCTCTAGTAGGAACAAGTGCCACGCTAGTAGTAACAAGTGCCTTACTACTAGTAACAAGAAGCTATTAGCTTCTTGTTTCTAAAAGCTTCTTGTTCCTAGTAGTAAGGCACTT